CCATTAAATCTGCATGTTCCATCTGTCGTATTTACCTTCGAACCTTTTAGATTTTTTTCTACACATCACCTCACGTCCCCACCATACAAGTGCTGTTCAAGTTGAAGATCGTAAAATTCTTAGAAAAGTGTCAGATTTCTTGTGACTTACAAAGCGCTAGGGAATCTCTTTCTACCTGCTGCTACCGGCCTTCGAACAATCTCCGAGGAACTCACAGTGGCGTGGGATCGAATTTTTTATTCCCTTTCGGTTTTTGTCGGCATAAGTAGATGTAAATTACACCCCAAACACGGTTGGAGATGCGTTGGTTTTAAACGATACGCCAGAATAATCGTTAACGTCTCTAAGTGGCTCTCATTATTCTTTCTTTTGATACTGCATACGTGTACGGGGTGTCTCAAATTCGGCCGTCGTCATTGGGATCTCTAAAACCGTAAGAGATACGTGGATTTAGAAAGTTTTGCAATACAGCACATTCCTGGGGATAGAAAAAAAAATTCCGAAATAGTTTCCATTTCTCCTTGACATTATTTGAGGAAACATGGCTGCTCTTTCTTCTCTACAAGGTGGCATACTATGTATTCCAATCTGATCTTTTGCACGTGTAGATGAAACTTTTAATTTTGATTGGCCTTGGAGACTACAGCTTACCACAAGAATTCAAGATTGCTCAAGTTTTTTAGACGTGTATTCTAGGAACATTTCGATAATTAAAGCCTTTATTCACTGCAACAAGCATTATTTTTAGTACAACCGAATCTTTCTGCAATCGTAGATTGATGTTATTTGAAGACCAAAAGCGTGCCTCGGTTTAGATAAAACGGATACGAATTGTTTTCAGTCGCAGATTAACGTTATTTGAAGACAAGACGCGTGCCTCGGTTTAGATATGACGGATCCGGATTGTCTGTAGCCTGCAACATAGTCGAAGCTGTTACTCGATCTACCAGTTTTTTAAAATCATTTGGTTTTCAATGTTTTCGTTGCTAACCTTGTTTATGTTAAAAAGATAAGCATTAGGTACGTTTTTTTTCATTCTAAGAGACTACCTATAGGAAGTTTAACTTTTACTACAGAAAACCGTTTAAAAATGTTCCTAGCTGTGATAGTTTCTTATTACTGAGTATCTTTTGGAAAAATTACCCTGCATGAATTTTTCACAATATCCCGATGAATTTGGGAACTTTTTCTACGCCTCTGTGCGAGTTTAAATGCACGCCCAGACAGCTCTAGCATATCGAATAAAGGGACGTGACCGTAGAAAAAAACCTGTAAAATATATTTACCTTTTAGCAGATTTGGGTTTACGAGCCACCACGTCAGATTTCGGCCTCGATCTTTTGTTGTGCGAAGAATGAGAAATATTACCACTGACTTGACATATTGCTTCTTTGTTGCGTTTAAATTGCCGGATTTTCTCGTTTCGGACACCTGACGCAGATTGAGCTAAGTCCTTTGCTCGAAAGTATGGAAAATAATTAAACACGTACTAACAATAGGAATCATCCGGAAGACCTTATGAATATTATGAAAAGAATCCTAGACACATCCTTCACAATACAAGATGCGTGCCTCGGTTTAGATATGACGGATACAGATTGTTACATCATCTTTTATGTGCTCTTGATCTCAGTGATGTTTATAGTACTTGTTAGTCACACATTACTATTGACAGATCCTTTAAAATAAAGTAATGAATCTCCCTAAATAGCCTTAATTACCGCTTAAGTACAAAAAAACAGATAGGTGTGTTCAAAGTTGGAACTTTACATGCAAAAATGAGCGGCTTGTTCTAGTAGCATATACACCAAAGTATTAAGATTACAGAGGTGATACGCCCCGCAAAATAAATCAAACCTTACACATCTGTTCTAAAAAACAATACAAAAAAATGCAGCAATATCGGATTATTTTAATTTGCTTTGAGTACGAAATGCTACCGAGGCTTCGCGAGTGCATGCAGATCGTTTTTAAAAATCCTTCGTGATTTCTTTTTCGTTTGTTTGCTACACTGATACTTGGCTACGCCTTTGAATCTATCATAGACTTGTACTTGAAATTTCTTTTCGATGAACCGTGTGTATCGTTTCATTTATTATCTTTTCTTACTTTTTCGCTGTCGTTTCACCACACGTAGTTTTTTCTGAAAAGGTTACTAAATAAAAAACAACCATAAAGCAGATTTACGAACACCCGAGTTGTTTATCTTCTGCTAGAACTACTGCCGCGTTCTTCCAAAATTCCTGTAAATTTCGACAGGACGTGAAATGAACGGAATTTAGGAACTTCCGATTGTTTTATCGTTCCGAGGGATTTATTTTACAGATCCGGGATGTATGGTTAAACAAGTAGAGAACCACATGTGAAGTTTTGTTATACGATTTGAAAATAAACAGGTTGAAAGGTATACGTATAAACATGCAGTTATAACAAAGTACTTACTTATATGCGACGTGACCAGAGTCAACGATATAGTAATGTAATATCCGACTAACAAATAACCATAAAAAATAGCAATTACAACGTTTACATTCGCCGATAACGAACGAAATATCATCGAAAAACAGCAATGAATTAAATAATGGCTCGTTATTTTTTTACACAAACATACCTCAAATAATTAGTGTGGGACTGTGGAAAATGACATAAAGTTGTTTGTTTGCAACGCCAACTTGGTTATTGGGTAGTTCATTGGACATAACTTATGTATATGCGATTGTTCGAACAATGGCAGGTTTAATGCGGAATATGTTGTTCATTTAAATCAAGCAGGCATTCCGATTGCACTAATGGTATAATATTATAGTACAGGAAATTGACAAATTCGTGTATGTGGAAAAACATTTTGCAGGTCTTGAAAATTTCTTAGATTCTGATAAGTGAAAAACTTGGAACTTTTTATGATTACGAAAATGTTATATATTGTGAAAAACTTGGTGATCCTAAAAATTTTCGAAATTGTTAAAACCAAAAATTTGAAAATTTTGAAAACTCCTTAGATTTTGAAAATCGAAAAACCTGAAAATTTTCGAAACTTTGTAAGTATGAAAATTTTGCAAAATATTGATAGTCATGAATTTTGGTAATTTTTAAAATTTTGAAAATCTTGGAAATTACGAAAATGTTGAAAACTGTGAAAAACTTGGTAATCCTAAAAATTTTGGAAATTTTTAAAACCAAAAATTTGAAAACTCCTTAGATTTTGAAAATCGAAAAACCTGAAAATTTTCGAAACTTAAGTATGAAAATTTTTCAAAATATTGATAGTCATGAATTTTGGTAATTTTTAAAATTTTGAAAATCTTGAAAATTGCGAAAATGTTGAAAACTGTGAAAAACTTGGTAATCCTAAAAATTTTGGAAATTTTTAAAACCAAAAATTTGAAAACTCCTTAGATTTTGAAAATCGAAAAACCTGAAAATTTTCGAAACTTAAGTATGAAAATTTTGCAAAATATTGATAGTCATGAATTTTGGTAATTTTTAAAATTTTGAAAATCTAGGAAATTACGAAAATGTTGAAAACTGAAAAACTTGGTAATCCTAAAAATTTTGGAAATTTTTAAAACCAAAAATTTGAAAATTTTGAAAACTCCTTGGATTTTGAAAATCGAAAAACCTGAAAATTTTCGAAACTTTGTAAGTATGAAAATTTTTCAAAATATTGATAGTCATGAATTTTGGTAATTTTTAAAATTTGAAAATCTTGGAAATTACGAAAATGTTGAAAACTGAAAAACTTGGTAATCCTAAAAATTTTGGAAATTTTTAAAACCAAAAATTTGAAAATTTGGAAAACTTCTTAGATTTTGAAAATCGAAAAACCTGAAAATTTTCGAAACTTTGTAAGTATGAAAATTTTTCAAAATATTGATAGTCATGAATTTTGGTAATTTTTAAAATTTTGAAAATCTTGAAAATTGCGAAAATGTTGAAAACTGTGAAAAACTTGGTAATCATAAAAATTTTGGAAATTTTTAAAACCAAAAATTTGAAAATTTTGAAAACTCCTTAGATTTTGAAAATCGAAAAACCTGAAAGTTTTCGAAACTTTGTAAGTATGAAAATTTTTCAAAATATTGATAGTCATGAATTTTGGTAATTTTTAAAATTTTGAAAATCTTGGAAATTACGAAAATGTTGAAAACTGTGAAAAACTTGGTAATCCTAAAAATTTTGGAAATTTTTAAAACCAAAAATTTGAAAATTTTGAAAACTCAGTTTTTGAAAATCGAAAAACCTGAAAATTTTCGAAACTTTGTAAGTATGAAAATTTTGCAAAATATTGATAGTCATGAATTTTGGTAATTTTTAAAATTTTGAAAATCTTGGAAATTACGAAAATGTTGAAAACTGAAAAACTTGGTAATCCTAAAAATTTTGGAAATTTTTAAAACCAATAATTTTAAAATTTTGAAAACTCCTTAGATTTTGAAAATCGAAAAACCTGAAAATTTTCGAAACTTTGTAAGTATGAAAATTTTGCAAAATATTGATAGACATGAATTTTGGTAATTTTTAAAATTTTGAAAATCTTGGAAATTACGAAAATGTTGAAAACTGTGAAAAACTTGGGAATCCTAAAAATTTTGGAAATTTTCAAGAGACCGAAAATTTTGAACATCTTGGAAATTTATTGAAACTATTAGAACTAAAAATTTTTAAAACCGGAAAGTTTGACAATTTTCAACATTTTGGAAATTTTAAATTTCCTTGGATTTTGAAAATTGAAAAACCTGAAAATTTTCGAAATTTTGTAAGTATGAAAATTTTGAAAATCTTTCGTTTTCTAAAAATTTTTGAAAATTTTTAAGATTATTAAAGATTTTTAACGCAAACATACCTCAAATAATTAGGTATATAAATATAAGAAATGATCATATTAGCTATATTTAACACATCGTAGATTTCCGATGAAGTGGTACCATAATTCTTCATACCTATATCATATAAGAAGAGGATTGAGGAAAAGGAAAAAAAACAAACCGATGAAATATTCATATATACCCAAGTATATTTATTAACATGCATTTCCATAAAAAAGTAAAAAAATTAACCTAGAAAAAGTGCACCTTTTGAACTTATCACTAACCATAACTTAAATAATAAAACGCATAATACTACGAGGTCGAGATATTTTTAGTGTGCCGTTTTAATACGACTGATGATTTCAAGAAAAAAGATAATATGAAAAAATGCATTATTTTACATGTAGGACAAAAACAATATACGAGAACAGTGCAAAAAATAGTCCACACTACAACAAATTTTTATAGTCTAAAAAGGAAAAGGGTGAAAGATTATTTCATGGAAATAACGTTAATTTTAGCAAACATCAACATATTGCTTAAAATACAAAATGAACGCTTTCTCATCGATCTATTCTGTAAGTTAATACTGGAAGTACAATCTGCAAAAATTCCATGTATAGTACTTAAAACAATAGAGGTACATTCATTACACATAAACTTTCGCTGGACATCTAACAACATTACGTAATGAATAAGACAAAGTGAAATTTGGCAACAGTGTAATTTATACGAACTTTATTGGTCACTCCAGTGTGTTTAATAACTCTCCGACCAAATCTCAGAACTGCTGCTCGAACAAAAAATGACAACATTGCAGGCTTTAAGAAAACTATGTACCTTAAGCCAGCTTGAAATTTTTCAATTGGACTTTCAAGGTCCTTTGGAGGTCACCTTGAACGAATGGAACCCAACAGCGGAAAACTTTGCGTGGTTAAGTGACCTTGATCATCACATAATAATAAAATGTCTGTCGATTCCTGCAGGCTTATAGGTTCATTTTGGATCTCTAAATACCCTGTGAAGGTCAAGGTCAGGAACATTTCCGAACGCAAACTTTTCGTCTCCTTTCATTGGACGTATCAAAAACGAGCCATTCCTCATAATAAAATTCTCAATTTGACTTTTGTGGTAAAAGCCAAACGCAAAATTTAGCCCTTTCCATCTGTTGAGTCTGAAAGATAAGGCTCCACATAAACTTTCAAGTTGACCAGACTGGAGTGTTCCAAAATGGCCAGACATAATAGATAGACTGTCGAAATATAAATTACTTTGAACCTTTCCCGATAAGAAAAGACTTACTCCACCTAACAGACGAAACCACCAAACTTCACCGACAAGAAGGTATTTCTTCCGCAACTTAAATCTGTCACTTCTCAAGCGTCTTCTTCTTCATCGTCGTCATCATCATCGTCGCTCGCCGACAAATTTGGAGTCGCAGGCTCCTTGATCGAGTCCATGCTTTGCTCATTGTAAGCATCGTAGTTCACCTCCTCTTTCATGTTGTACATTTGGATCATCTGGTTCGTCTCCGGATTGTGTTTGGCCTTGAGACGCGCCTGCTGGATGATCTGCATGATCTCCATTTTGACTTCGAACCTCGCGTCTTCGGGAATGTCCTTCAGCGGTTTCACCAGCGACATCAGGAACAACCTGCAACAGGAAGAAACTCGAGGTCGTAGCGGTGCAAGGTCAACATATTTTTCAAGGTCAAGGCAAGTACATACAACTGTGTCCGGCCTCGATATCTACAGCTGGATCATGGCAAGAATCAGTCGGTGACCTTGAGATATGTGACCGCTATTACTCCACAAGGTCACGTGAAAATGATACACCAAGGAACTTTACCTGTATGTCATCCTTTCAGAAAACCAGAACAACTGCGATTTTTATTGAGCAGCTATTTACGGGACTCAAGGTATCTTAGAGGAACACTATTACCTTTCAAGGTCGCATGCAGGTAAAATAAAGGTCAGTTTTGCAGTGACCTTGACATTCCACCGTAACTCCTTTCAGAAATTAAGACACACTCCGATTTTAATCGACTAGCTAGTTATGGGACTCTAGATGCCTTACACGAACACAATTGTTTCTCAAGGTTAAATCAAGGTCAGAGACATCGACATTATGATACAGGTAAAGGAATCGCAGCGTCGTCCGTATTAGAAACGACATGGTCCAAGCCTTTCATATTTTGAGACAAAGTAAGGTAACAATATTTTGACGCTTACCTGTCGCAATCCGACTCGTCCACCTCGGTGCTGTCAGGCGGCGCCGCTTGGTCCTCCCCGCTACTAGCGCCCCCTGCCAGCGCTGCGGCGGCTCCCTTCAGGCTCAACAGGACGTTCGCGGGCTGCTTCTGATTCGGCGATTCGGGCACCGGTTCGATCGGAAAGATGCGCTTGTGCCTCTTGATGACGTTTTGGAGAAATGACAGTTGCTGGTAGTACAGGTAGCTGCTCTTCTTAGGACGGACGAGTTCGCGAGCGTAGCAGTCGCGCAGGTTCTTCCAGCGACGCTGAAGGCTGCGGGCTGGAAGAGAAGGAGATTTGTGTCAGGTGCGTTGACTCGGAAAGACCGATTTCCTTGGAACAGGAAGTAGGATTCAAAATAGTCCCTGTACAAAATAATGTTTTTTTTTCTCAAGAAAAAGGGATGGTGGTTCCCAGCAAAATGCTCGTCTTAAGGATTTCTTCATTTGACCAATAACTATTGCCTGGATATTTTCGGAAAACACAAAATGGCGACTTACAAAAAGCTTCTCTTTCCTCTTGAGTAACGTTATCCCCTGGCATGAACAGCCTTGTGAGTTCCTCCCAGCATTCTTTCCTCATTTGTTTGTCGTTGTAAGTCTTGTAGCCAGGGTTCCATAGCGTTGGACGCTTCTGGACCTCCTGCAAGACAAAAAAAAGTTTTTCTGAAGAATTGGGCGCATAAAAATTGTTTATAAAAGGACTAAAAGCTAACCCCAAAATTTCAAATCCTTGTACACGATTTTCATGGTAATTTTTGTATTATAGTTGCTCCGAACCGGTCAAGGACTGGATAGGTCTGGAATCATAGAAGCACAGAACGACAAGTCACGACAACACCAGTAGAACTCGATTAAAAATTAGGACAATTTAATTTCTTTAGATCATGCCAATACACACTGAAAACCAAATACCCTGGCGTCATAATGTGCGTGCAATACGTGTGTTAGAAAGAGATAGAACTACCTCGTTGCCTAGCAGCCCGAGTAGGAGGTCACGGACCCGCGCACTCTTCCAAACATACATATTGGACGATTCTCGCTCTTACACATTACGATGCCAGCCACCTCACCGTATATTTTGATAACATGTAATTATTTCAATTAGTCTTGAATTCCCGCAGCCCTATTCTACTCTAACGGGGCTGCCTATTTAGATAATCGAGAACGAAGGAAACTCTCTCCTACGGCTTGAATCCTGTTGCACATGCATAACGACAAATCCGTCTCGCCACGCCCTACTAGCACCCTACGTCCGCCATTTTGGCTCCCCCGGGCGCAATTCCGCACCTGTGCCTTCGTACACCTCAAGTACTCGTCATACCTTGATAAACTGGCGCGTGTTGATCGCCGCCATCGTATCTCAGTTGGCCGCGGAACAAGCGAAAAACGTCCGATCGGCAGACTCGCCGAGTGCAGAAACAAGCGAACCGCGGCGGGCAGGCAGCTGACGATCAGGGAGGCGCGTGGACGTGAAGCGACGCGTTCTCGACTCTCGACTCGACTGCGGTCGCCGTCGGCTCGCACGTCGGTCGACGCGAGGTAGTAGCGCGACATCGAGATCGAGTCTGCGCATTCCGAGCGGCGGGCGATGCGATGTTGCCGCGTCTCGAGCGCTCTCGCGTCGCTTTCGACTGTCCATTGTTTGGCCGCAAGGCGAGCGAATACGATGTTGCAGCGCTTCCGGTGGTCTGGTGGTTGCTAGGGGCAGATACGAGGGAAAGACCGATGCATCAGGTCGTGCTATTAAAGGGTTCGATTCTACCAAGGACTGACCCAGCTGGTGACGAGCCATTCTTTATTCCCTGCGTACGGCAGTAGCCTGCTGGATGTCTTTTCTGACCAGGCATCCTGACCCTTACAGCACTGTTGTCCTGTCTCCCCTGGGTAACTCGGACCACGGTGCTGTGGAGGTCAGGTTTCGGTGAGAACCTGCTGTGGCAGCAGAAACTCGCCCAGGCCGCAGAATTTGGCAATACGAACATGACGACTGCGAGGAGGTCAGAGACTCTTTCTCCACCTATCCTTGAAGAGATTGTTTGCTTCTCTGACGCGAATACGTCGGCTGCCTGTTCTTCAATATCCGAAATTGTCCAGGTTGGAAAGAGCCTATACCAGGGTCAAAGGGCTGGTTCAACAGATCGTGCGACACTGCTCGTCAGCAGCAGATCAAGGCAACCAGAACCTTCTTACAAAGCCCACTGTAGAAAAGAGACACGCCGACGTCGAATCCAGAAAGATACATAACGAAGCGGTCCTCAATGCCGAAGACCATCACGCTATGAGAATTAGACACAGGGTAGTGTCACAGCGCAGTGGTAGTCGTTTTTTTCTGGACGCTGGCCAAGCAGATTGAAAGGAAATTCCTATTAGTTATGTGCCAGAGTGGAACAACTTTGGCCGACTCAAAGACTAAGGTGGAAGTGCTTGCCAAGATCTTAGCTGTTAACACCTCCAGTGCCGTCGACCCAAACGGTTCCCTCACAATGCGGCAGGTAACATTCAGGCATAGGACTCTTGTTGCTCGACATCGACAAAGCTTCTGGTTGAAGAGATGTGGAGCGGAGCTTGCTCCAGTTCTTTCACGTCCCTTGCAGATATATTACGACTTCGGCTCTTTCCCAGAGGACTTTAAATTTGCTTATGTCCAACCCATCCCGAACAAGGGATCTAAGACTAAACCTAACGACTATTATAGGCCTATAGCTCTACTTTCTGTTACAAGTAATGTCATGGACAGGTGCATCGATAACTCCTGAAGTACCTCGAACGTCATGGCTTGATTAGCGACAGGCAGTTCGCCCTCAACCAGGGACCTACTAGCTTACGTAACGCACACTGTAGAGTGAATTCATCCAGTTTTGTGGTGAGGCTCACGTTGTTGCTCTTGGTAACACGAAAGCGTTCCTGCTGTGGCAACCTTACGTCCTATCGCCTCACAGAGAAGCTTTGCAGATAGGTGGATGACTTTCTCTCTAGCCGCAAGGTATACGTCAATTTGACGGGTTCTCCTCTTCATTCCACAACGTCAACGCGAGTGTTTCCCACGGAGGGCAAAATGAGAAATTAATTTCATCGGCTCTGGACCATACAGTCTCATATCCGGTTAAAAAAGTGATACTAATAAAAAATAATCAAAATCGAAATGGTTTTTTCATTTATCCTAATACGTGGCTTATGTAAGAATAAAGGTATCCTAGCAGCGGCTAGATTGCTGTAGACAAATGGAGGACCAGAAAAATTGAAAAGATGAAGATCGACAATCTGATCTTGGGTTGAAATTCGAACTAGTTTGAATCAAATCGAGAACAAGGCTTGTCTTCTGTGTAATAAGTTTCAGATATTATAAGCAAAGATGGAATGCACAACATAAAAAAGGAGCTGATTTTAATTCCATAGTGTTAGTAGATCATCACATTTCAGGTGAAATGTTAATGGGAGAACTGTTTCAAGCTTCCTAGTGTGAAAGAAGCTGTTGAAGCTTTTACTCATCTAGAATAAACTACGCATCTGTATTTGAAATCTTGTGTTCTCTGCTATACACATGACATAATGTTGGTATATACTCGGTCGTTGAAGGGTTGATACCGAATACTACACCTTTGATGTCATATACTTTAATGTGAGTCGAAATAACAACACAAAGCGCCATCTGTTACCAGAGTTTACCACTGCGAGAGTACAAAGAAGCTATCGTTCGGAACTGTAATGATCTCAGCTCGCGTCTGACAGCCCAGATACCACTAGAGGCCGACGATTCTGCCTGAATTAATCCAAAGCAGTCTGTGGACCAAAGTGCACTGTCGCCTCTTGAGCTTACTCCTCGAACAGTATCCTCATTATTTACTTTTGCGCAATGTGGTATTGCATATACTTCTGCCTGTAAAGCAGAGGTGTATCTTCCATACTATGCTTGTTTCCATATATGCCTGCACTTAGTCCTTACTCAGTTTTTGGCCCATTTCTCGAAGTTGATTGCAAATCTGGGAACCAAGTGGTCTTTCTTCGCGTCAAGTATGTCGCTTCCCACATATGATTCTGTCCTAAGTCTTCGTATCTTCCCTTTGGCTGTAATTGTAGCCTAGTAACCCATCGTCACCTCCTGCATTAGAAGTATTTCCACCTTGCCTGTATGTTGACTTTGATGTGTAGGGAACTAGGAGTGCACGCATATATCACGTGACATCATACCACTCAACATAGACATAGACAATGTTGAATAATTATTTTAAGACGTCTGTACGATGTTTACAAATTTAAAACGGCAATAATCGACAACCTACACGAAATTAATTTACAGACAACGATCGGATAGCACTTAACGAGTATGCAACGCGGTGCTCGATCCGACTCTCGCCGCTTTGTTGCATAAAAATATAATTTGTATCTGATTAAGCAAATTCGAATGCAAATGGCGCAATTTTCATTAGCATTTATATACAGTGGCCCAAAACTAATTTAATTATCGTAAATGTTACGTATACTTGACGCAATACGAGCAAAGAGTAGTTATATCAACATACCAGAACGTTTAATAATAAAATTTTCTCTCTAAAATGTGATGGTTCGTATCCTATAACGCGCGTTTCCGAGGTTCATCTGTGTCAATTTTCTTTAATATTTTTATATAAACTGTCGCATAACAAGTTAGATAGTATGTATCTATTATCACAAATGAATTCCAATGCAGGCTTAGCTCATACCCATACTTCAATACAAATTTACGATTAAATTCTCCATCGTCCCACATACAGCCTAGTTTCAATATTATTAGAGACGTGTGTGATGTCAGTGTTGACTGTCTGGTCTTTTTGTTGAATAAATCAGCTAAACGATTTGCTCATTACGTAATTGCTTGTTTTTTTTAGATAGATATGTCTTTTTTGGCTTGTAAATGGAATCAATCTCTGTTGGGCAATAAAGCGTTATCATTATTCCATTTCGCCCCAAACAAAAAAAGAAATCACGTAGGATCTTGAAAAACGATCTGCATTCACTCGCGAACCCTCGGTAGCATTGCGAAAGTACTCGCCGCGAATTAAAGTAATATGGACTCTGTACACACTGTAAAAGAAACTCCCAGCTGTGAGAACGCGCTGTATATTTGCAGCCGCTCTGTTTGGGCAATAAAGCATTATCATTATTTCATTTCGCCCCAAACAAAACAAGAAATCATGAACGATCTTGAAAAACGATCTGCATTCACTCGCGAACCCTCGGTAGCGTTGCGAAAGTACTCGCCGCGAATTAAAATAATATGGACTCTATACACGTTGTATATTTGGAGCCGCCCTGTATGCATCGCTGGGCGATCATCGAATCCGATTATTCGAGTCGCAAGGTCTGCATCAGATTACACGATTGTATACGCCGTGTTCAATTTGCATGATTTTTTCATCTCTCTCTCTCTTTCTATTTCCATCTTTGTCACATAAATCAACTGCAAAGTGGTCTCCATTGTCGAGCGTCGAACTGAAAAAACTCCTCTGAGGTCTTGCGTCGAATCAATTTCGTACGCTTTGCAAGCAATGAAAGGACTGGTTTGTTGCTGGGATGTGTGCGACTTTAAACGGGTAAAAAACCAATCGCCGTCATTTGTTAACGTCAATTCGATTGCTGAAACTCATACTGAAAGTTCTGCCTGTTCTTCGATTGCACAGTCTTCGAAGACAAATTACATATTACTAAAGTTAAAGGTAAAGTGTAGTTTGCTTTTAGATGTTAATGCGATTTTTCATCCAATTACATCTTATTAAAGCCACCCGTCAGGTTCTAAGCCCCATCCTGCAACTTGTCTACAAACCCCATCGATAGTCATTTGTAACATCAAAGCGAACTACTAGAATTCAATAACTCCTCGCAAACTCAGCTCCGATAGATAGCGTACATAATTCAATCTAAGCATGTCTACCCTTAACTTGATCACCCCTCACTGTGCATATCCAAGACGAAGACGTTCCATCCCTTTGTGTATAAGTAATTTGACGAAACCGTGACGTCAACACTCCACCCGCTTTGTCTTGCTCAGATAAGGGCTCTTCAAAACTACTCAGGGTGGTTGATATACGCAAGCTGGGGTATATGCAGATGAAGCTTATCTTTGAAACTTGTAATGATAATAATTTTCTTTTGGTTTCATCCCAGAAATTTCCTCATAAAACACAGATGATGCTAATTTAGGTCATTAGATTTAGTAATAACCTTTAATTATTGTTGATATTCATTGAACGAAGATCCTTGTCATTGTTTTTCCCGAGCATGAAAGTCAGCTTTCTAGGGTCTGCCTATAGGCAACCAGTGATGCTGTATGCAGGTTCGGTTACGGAACCGTTGTTCATTTCTGAACGGCTTCGTCAGGTTTTTGTGATTGTTTCATTCGAAAGTTTGTCTAGATAGAATATTTGGTTTGGTAATCGGAATTATTTATTCGTTATTAGTATTGTCGGCGCGCATTTTGGTTGTGCGTGGAATGTCGAATTTTGGCACGCTCTTCTACTTTTGTCATTGATTGACTGGAGATGAGCTTCCGCCATTTCCTGCTGAAGCCTTGTGTAAGAAGGTGTATGGGCCCTTCATTTGATTTCCCAATTTTGGGATATTGGCCGCAATCATCAGTTTATTCTCTTGCCAACGTTACCTTTAGTACTTTGTTTTGGTTGTTGTTTGGTGCTACTCCATTTTATAGTATTTTAACCTCTTCAGCAGGAAGTTTTCTTTTTTTTTATACCATGTAACTTGTTAGGTATACCATATACGAGGATGTACTTATGATATACAGGGTGTTTAGGTAATTGAGACATTACTCCACCACAAAAAACTTAAGGAAATCGACAAACTATACAAGTAATGTTAAATATTATGTTTTATTTGGAATATACGATGAAAGTAAGGTAACCATCAAGGCTTAGGCAGAATATGCTTGAAAATTAACGAAATGTATACAGGGTGACTTTGAAGTTGAGTCATTAATTTTCAGATAATGATTGTAGAAGGAAGATAAACCAAAATATGTGTGTAAAAATAAAAAAAAATTCAAAAAATTTGTTTACCTTGTTTTATAAAGTATCCTCCCGACAAGTATTTCAGTGCGGACCTGTATTTGATCGTGAGGTCTTGGAGCACCGGCATGCCCTCTCCTGTGAGGTCTTAAGTCACCTGATTCACGAGCCCGTTGTACTACATTAACAAAGGCACGAGGGGTTGGTTGCACTCGATTGGGAAACCGATCCGCATAAACATGTGCCATTTTTTATTTCGTTTGAGCCACGCAACAGACACCACCGACTGACACTGACTGTATACAGCTGACTAAAATAATTGTAAAAACATCGTTCCAAATTCTTTCGCTTTTTTGTTTCCGATGCGATGAACCAAACACGAGCACATAATATTATTATTGAGACAGGGCGGTACTCAAACTTCCAAATTGCTATAACTTTGTTACTTTAATTTTACCAGAAAAATGGTAAAGGAAAAAAACATTTCTTTTGATCAGATCTACTCACTGTTAAAATAAATACTCAACTTCGAAGTCACCCTGTATAATTTCATGGCGTGTTACATTACCGACTTTCACTATACATATAAACAAATATCTGTATATGTAAACGGTATAAAAATATACGAATACTCTTTATACTGCTAGATCCACATTATGACATATTATCCATAATATAATTTTCTTAAAGCTTCTAAGCACTAGAAATGCAAAGCGTTCGAAATTTTTCAATACAAAATTGTCGCTCTCATCTTTTTTGCCACCAGATTTTCTTACGGCATCGTTGCGTTCTAGTTCTCCTAGTAAAACCTGCTAGATTAAGCTCACAATGTCACCATTTCTCATACAACCCAGTTACGGATACAAAAAACTTTTATTTTTTTCCATTCATCAAACAATCTTGGATTCACGCATAGCGTAGATATATTTGGAGTATATTTGTAAACGAAATTCCGGTTCGACCGTATTCCAGAATAATTTCGAATATCCTCATAGCAATCAATCACTCCGAAAAGTGAAAAAACATTTAAATTTTTCTGTCAAGTTCAGTGATCAGCCTTTACTTGCGTCAGCGAGAAATGTTTATGGGTATTGGTTTTTTAGTAAATAATCGTGGTTTTTCGCAAACATTTTTTCATTCACGATGATGCGATTGTTAAGCTTTTGTAAATATGGAAACCAATATTTTTCAATAATTAGAATGTTAAATCATTATCTGTCATTAATGTAAGTATAGGTTAACGTATAAGTAAAGTAAATTATGCAATGAAAATGACGTTTCCTAGAAAGCAATTTTAGCTGTGGATATTCTCGGAAAGAGTCATATCCATTTTCTTTGCGATGATCAAATTTCGATACATCTTAAAATGTATATTATTTTCTTCTGACAAATACTGTTGAGAAAATGTTACACATTTTTTCGGAATACTTTTGCTTTGTTTTAGCTTTTAGCAAAATAAATATTTATGATGCTATTTTATAGTATTTTCAACAGTAGCTATAAAACTCGATATTTGTTTAATCTAATGACCACAGTTTCAGCCACGTGGAGCAATATTTTCAGACAGCTGAGATGTTATACTTTGTTTACGATACTTTGTCGACATTTGTTTGTATTTCAAAACGTACAGAGCGATCAAAATTATGGCAGTGTTGAAATGAATACGTTTGCTTTCCAACCACTACTAATCACAGAAGGCGATGTTTTGTACTTATTAGCAACTCATCGGTGTGGTATAGAGCGCGGCCTTCACCCACGAAGCATGCAAAGTGCTGCCGGCAACAGTTTTTTGGGACATCAAGGGCATTACTCTCATTCAATATATGTCAAAAGGGACAACAGTAAATGCGGACGTCCCCTGTATAGTCCAGACTTGACCTCGTTTGACTTTTATCTCTTTAGAATACCAAGGAAACATCTTCGAAGATTTGAGTCAAGAGAAACATTTTGTGTTATATTATATTGAAAAATAAAATTATCAAACAAATCGTACGTCCTTTGTTTCATGGTTAGATAGATTTCTTTTCTAGCGCCCCTCGTATTTGAGATACAGAAAGAAGCACGGACACGACCGCACGTACTGGGGCGATACGGAGACGTTACCGCGCGGCCTGGAGACACGGCAACAGCGCGGCGACGACGCGGTCAGCGATCCGACGTTTCGCGAACAGTTGAGAATCGAGAGCGGGAGAGGGTGGAGAGTTCGCTCGTCGATCGGTCAGACCGCGCGCGGTCGACATGGGGAAGACCTTCGAAAACAAGATCTTGATCGAGATGATACGACGGAATCCGGTATTGTACGATCAATCGCACGCCAATTATAAGAATGTGAGGATTAAAGACAAAATATGGAACGAGATCGCAGACACCCTCGGCGAGACAGACTGCGGTAAGCGACGAATTTACGTTATTATCGTTATGATTGTAGTCTAGTCTGTCTACTAGGCAACGCGTTTATTCTTCTTTATATGGCATTTTTAGCAAATTCGTTCGTATTGGGCCTGTTCCAGTAGGTGTGAACAGAAAACACGATTTTTCTTTTCATGACACGTTCATTTGCTAGTTGCGAGCTTCGAAATAGAAGCCGTTTTTTAAAATTTGCAAAGAATTACATTGGAATATGAAAGGGGGAAAGATATGGAAGATACCACAAATATCTCTGAAAACTAATGTGGTGTGTGTACATAAATTTATCTAAACTAAACAAACTAAACAAATTGTTCTACTCGGAACCGTAAAACTCATTTTAATAGCTCATTAATTTTAAGTAAATTGCTGTATTCGATCTAAGTAAACTGTTTATTGAATATAATTAAATCGGAGTTTAAACTTATGTTTTACGTAGTCACTCAAATGTTTTGATTGGCAAAATCAAATTTTGATTATATACTAAGTGACATATAAATCCGAACACCCAGTTTAAATGGTTTTATTTTAATAAAATTTTGTATAAGTACTTAATGAAGTAAATGATAAAAATTTCAAAATGATTCTGAGGAGGACGTTGCAAATTGAGCAATCTCCTACCCATCATATCCCACACGTGCTCAATTGGGGATAATTCGGGAGATCTTGGTGGCCATGGTAACAATGTGACATCATTATGTTGAAAGAAGTCTATTGTGACTCTTGCAACATGTGGTCGGGGATTATCTTGTTGGAAAGTTGGATCTGCCAGGGTGTCAAGATAGGGTAAAAGATGGGGTTCTAGAACTTCGTGGATATAACGCTGCGCGTTCATGTTACCTCTGATGAAGATTAAAGGTGACCTGGAACCATAAGCTATAGCACCCCAAACCATAACTCCAACAGTGTAATGAACATGTCTTTCAACAAAAAACTGTGGATTCCTCCTTTCACCACGTCGCCTTCTAACCCTGGCACGACCATCGTGCATGCCTAAACAAAATCGAGACTCGTCACTAAAGACAACATTGTTCCATTCTTGATCCTAGAGTGACCGTTGTCTGCGCCACTCAAGGCGATTACGTCGGTGTTCTCGAGTTAAAGGGAGGACCCAGTGTGGCCGGTATGAAAACAAGCCAAAACTTCTCATTCGTCGGTAAACACTTCGCATGCCAATAGCAAACCATTCATTTGCAATGGACCTAGTAGTGGAGAGACGGTCCCTTAAGGCCAATAATCTTAGGCGGCGATCTTCACGGTCTGTTGTTCTACGGCGGCGTCCAGTGCCCCTTGCACTTTGCGTACGGCCTTCTCGAAGCCATGCCTGACAACACCTAACCACAGTGTCTACACTTCTTTGCACTCTAACTGCAATTGCCCGAAAAGAAAGTCCAGCTTCCCGAAGTCATAAATAAATGTATCTAAACTAAACAAACTTTTATTAATCAAATCGTTCTACTCGGAACGGGAAACTCATTTTAATGGCTCATTAATTTTAAGTAACCTGATGTATTCGATCTAAGTAAACTGTTTATTGACTATAAGTAAATCGGAGTTTAAACTTACATAGTCACTCAAATGTTTTGATTGGCAAAATCAAATTTCGATTATAATTAAACTTTTTCTCGGTTCCAATCACAAACGCGATCTCCTCCCGTACAATAACGACATTTGATTTATCCGTTTTCCAGCTGAAACGCAAACGAACTGTCGCTGTCATTGCCTAAACTCAATCTTACTTTGCAGGCGAGGAGATTAAAAGAAGATGGAAAAACCTCCGAGACTCCTTCAGCAAACACGTGAGAAGCGAAACGGCTGGCTCCGGTAAAGGGAAAGAGGCGAAGTTCTTGGATCGTTACAAATCGTGGCCTTGGGCGAAACACATGGAATTCCTCAGGCCGTACCTGACAAGATCGGATTCGACTCAATCGACTCCAGCGACAGATGACAGTGAGTTGTGCCCGGTGTGGACCGAAGAAGACGAATTTCTGTCGGAACCTTCGAGTCTGAACGTACCTAAAAAGATGGAAATCGAAGAGGACGAAGAACCGCTGCAAGAATCGAACTCGGAAATCCGAACGATCATCTCGTATTTGGAGGAGAGACGACGGAACGCGCGCGACGTCGATGACGTTGATCTGTTGTTCCAGGGCTACGCGAAAACGGTCAAAAAGCTCGCGCCGAAAAGGCAGATCATGATTAAGTTTAAGATATCTCAGATGCTCATGGAGGAAGAATTGGCGGAGCTGGAGGAGATGGAGCAAAGTGTTTATGAATAAAAATGAGTTTTGGGCGGTTTCGTTTTTGATATTATGCTAGTCTTTAGTTTCCAAGTTTCATTTGATTTAAGGTTTTTAGTGATAAATGATGGCAACCTAAGCGTCAAAGCGAAGCCAAGAATTCAACTTTCTCAAAAAACGACTAATAAAAAATATCTAAAAACTGTTGCGCGTCTATGGTCGAGATGGAAACTTGTTTTCTGAGTAAATCGGATGCGTAGATTCCAAATTCGATGTCGATACATCGCTAGAATTTCCGGCTATCCCGAAAAAATAGTTTCTTGTCAAATTTTTACCCTAAATCCAATCTGATAACACTTCAGAAATTTTTCACTGTGATATTCATATTCAGCGCCCCAAATTACCTGATTGAGAAAAGCTCCGCTTCTATGCAGTCATCGATAGTAAAAATGGGTTTTTAGCACCTTTAGAGACGCAAAAATGCGTAGTTTTACAATTTTTCGATAAATAATTAGATCTAAATGATAAACGGGATCAGATACACGTGAAACGACTTCGGATTCGGTATTGGCAGTTCAAAATACCTGGAATACAGGTCATTTGAACCGCATTTAAAGCATTTTAACATATAATTACCATCTATAGGGGTATTCTTACCAAAATGGCACAAAATGGGTCAGTCGGGAACGTGAACGCAACATATAATACGCTTTTTGGGTCGCTGAAACCGAATCCATGGCCCATTCCATCCGAAAATGCCTCGTTTTCAAGATACTGGCGAGAATTCAGCTTTGTCAAAAAACGACTAATAAGAAATTTCTAAAAACCCTTGCGCGTCTCTGATCGAGATGGAAATTTGTTTTCTGGGTAAATCGGGTGCGTAGATTCCAAATTCGATACATCGCTAGAAGTTCCGGCTTCTTGTCAAATTATTACCCTAAATCCAGTTTGATAACACTTCAGAAATTTTTCACTGTGATATTCATATTCAGCAACCCAAATTATCTCATGGTGCAAAGCTCCGCTCTCATGTAGCCATCGATAGTAAAAATGGATTTTTAGCACCTCAAAGTCGCAAAAAACGCCTAGTTTTACAATTTTACGCTAAATAATATCTAAATGATAAACGGGATCAGATACACGTGAAACGACTTCGACCGATTATAACAATACTCCCTCGCCAGTTTTGTATAAAAACCTTGAAAATCGGTGAATAGACCCACAGTTGGAAAATCACACTGAACGAATTGATATCAATCCACGTTTTACGATCACAATTTGCTGTGGGTAATTAGATACCAAAAATTTCTAATAAACGGACATCACTCTAAAAACAAACCAATAAAATTCCCACTTGCCCCTATTTGCGAACCATATTCCCGCCCCCGAGTGCTTTTTCTCTCTCTCGACTGATTTCTCTACATCATCGAACCTTGAATCATGCACAATCTAAACCTTTTCTACGGCGACTTGTTTTTTGTAACGAAACGAAAATCCATCTAGAAATACCGAGCGTGTAGTATAGACTACAAAATGCAATAAGCTTTTTTTGATTGAGAACGGCCATGGCTTATTTCGTACGAAAATGCAAATCATTTTTGGCGAGCAGAGGCGGACTCAAGTTTAAGGCAGTAACGTTTAAAAATCGAAAATTAACCTCAACATTCTGTAGTCTAGATAAATAGTATGTTCCGGCCTCGTCTCGTGAACAGAACAGATGTAGTACCCCTTTTGTTGCATTTGAGCGTAATTAAATTATATTTTTGAATGTTTAATTATATTGTTATAGGAACTTCTAAATAAATTTGTTTCCTTTAAAGATTTCTCGATACTCTGCAAAGTGCTGCTGTTTCAAAACTTATATTCGCTCGACATCGTGCCACTTTTACTAGACTTCAAAAATTGATTTTCATTTTCAAAATATCTGATAATTATACGAGATGGCATAATCATGCAGGTTATGTTACTCCCAAACTAGGACTTTGGGAAGATACTGTTTAAGGATTGAAACAACAACATGTATTTACACCCATGATAGAATGGATGCGTGATTGCCTAAAGCAAGGACGGCGTACAGGGCCGCATTCAGGGCTACCTCCGAATGATGGACTACCACCAACGTGTTGTAAAACAAAGATGACAGTATTTAACAGAAACAGAAAGTTAACAACAAATACACTTAACAACAGCAACAACCAAGCAAGGTGAATACGAAAACACGAGCACGCAGTGATACACGCGACGGTCGGTGGCCTGAATGCAACTCTGCCTGCCCTGCCCCTGTCCCGCGCATTATTCCGCCAGCCGGCCGCTTGAAATTTAATGGCGAATTGACCAATAAGAGGCGTTGTCCCCACATCTCATCTTGAATTTGGATTCAGTTTAGAATGTTATTAAAATATCCGACTCCGACTCTGTAAATCGAACGCGTTCCAGCTTCGTTCGATAAAAATGAACGACTTAATCGTAGTTGTCAAAAAACGAGTAGATTTGTATAAAATTTCCTATTCCTAGATCAATTATGCTCGCCCAGCGGAAACACATAACGCTGTTCGACGATGTCGAAATTCGGAAAGGGCAAAAAACGGGTGACACTCGGCTGCGTTCATTGTTTTAAATTAAAAAGCGGTTTTGTTGTTTACATGGTTTGAGTCAAGGCGTGCGATGGAAATTAAGAGGGATAGTACGTTACGTACCTAGGTTGAGAAAGAGGATATTGTTTATCGAGTACTTTTTCGCATATTTTCTGCTCCACGTTTGCAGTAGTTCCACGGAAAATATAATAAAATAAAATAAGGAAATGTATACCCCAGAATCATAAAAACTTTGAGGTTTGTTGTTGCATAAAGAATTGTGTATGGTAATGTAAAAATTTAATATTAAATAATATGGATGAGTAGCTGATATAAGGTACAACTGTAATAACATTCATTTATTTTCATTTGTTGTCCCAAAGAAAATAGAGCAAGCCTAGACCATACTGATTTATAGCCAAGAAGCACGAAACATCTGTTCAAAGTTGACGGTCTCTTGCTCGGACTATGCAGACAGAATCGTCAGCCATCTAGCGGACACATGATGACTGGGCTATCAAATCTTTAACAGTACCAATAAATAGCAGTCTGCTTTGCGCCGTCTGGTTATTTGATTCTATCTTTTTACTGTTTATATTGTATATATAATATATTATGGATTTTTTCCTGTCTATTGTGTTTGCCTTGGCTAAAATGAAGCTACACGCTAGTTAGCGCGCAATAATCGCACCGTTTATAGATTTTTTCACGTCGAAGCATCTCATAATACATTAGAAGGGTTTCCTATGCAATGCATTGGAGGAAAATAGAGCCGACCTAGAAAGCAAAAAAAAAGACTGTCGATTGACGCGCGCAGCCGTTCAATACCGCAATCAAGGTTGGCTTGGCCTAGGTTACGTTCGGAGGTGGGGGGGGAAACATCCGACTGTCGCTATGCGGTGGCCGTTTCCTATTTTACGGCGAGCCATAGCCAACTCTGTTGTACGTACCGGTATTATTAAAAGAAAATTAAGACCAAGGTTTGACGGTGACGAGCACAATACTTGTATTGTTGGATGTTTATTGCTTGAGCGTACGCACTGAGATTGAAATAAGTTTGCCTTAATGATTTATACTAAATGACGTCAAGTAGATTGACATTTCAAAAGGCGTGTTGTAAAGCAAGATCGACATACTTTGCGGTTGCTAAAATTCTTACTTTTTAATAAGTGCAGAAGTAGTAATAAGTAATAAAACATTATACGAGTAAAGTCTATTAGCCATACAATTCCTCTTTAGTCTGCCAAGAGATACCAATAAATCTTGTCTCATTATATAAGAGAAAAAACCTTGAGACACACTTAGCGTTCAGCCATATTATCATACGCGACGCCGATGTAATAAAATTAGCTGAAAAAGGTTTTTTTATATAAATTTTAATGTCTCTGCCATCTCAATTCGCCTTTGAAATTCAAAACTCGGCCCACGTGTAAGAGTCTTCGTGTCATTGGGATTGCAAATGCGTCTGGTGGTTTTGTTGTTATTATTGTTATTCTGTGCACGTACGTTTTCTAATGACGTGAGCGATTGCAAATTCGCTGATTGTCATACATCTTATTGGAGGCTGAATAGGATCTGCTTGCTTTCAGAATCTGCAACCATATATATATCGTTGTTTCGTGCTTTTTAGCAATCATCAGTTTCGTATTGGTCGGACATTTCTAAACATATGACAGAAACCAAACAGCAATTTACAGAGTAGGATGAATATAGGCAACCAAAAAAATTTTGAACTCTTAACTTTCTCGTTCTTTGGACTGGAAAAAATACTCGTACACCCTTCCAGTTGTCTGTAATGGAATTAATAAAAAAAGCAGAGGGTGGATCAGGTGCTGATGCGAATTTTAACTGCCTTAATTCCGAGGGGGTGGCTAATAATTTTTTCCATCCCTGAGCCCTGGAAATTACCACCGAGCCCGAAAGAATGGGCCGACTTAATGAACGGCTGTCAAGGAAATGTTAGCAAGACGAGGGTAAATTCGGGGATTTTTTTTTCTTATAAACCACCACCGCTGTTGGTAATTCTAGACACGGCGTGCTCCGTTAACTTTTTAGGGATCATTTAAATGTATTAGACGATTATGGGGATTTGTTTGGTATATCTCACCGCTTGAGTTTAATTAAGACAAAAATAAAAAAAAGAAATGCCGAAGTACTTTTTATTCACGGTACTAACGCTTTTTAGGTTTTCGTAAATAGTCGAGGTCTTCCGAAGAGCCTTTCATTTCGGCTGGTCGGAGTCCAAATCACCGAGGACTTGAATTGGATCGAACACATCTCGTCAATTGGGGCAGCTAAAGAGCTATTTATTTAAGGCGAAAAGTACAGAAACTCATATCTGTAGAAACTAACATATTGTACATAAATACACTTCAATTTTCCAATTTTACAGAATTCTCAAAATTTTCAAATTTCTCAAACCCTTCAATATTTTCAAAATATTCAAAATTTTTAAAATATCTCAAATTTTTAATATTTTTAAAATTCACAAAACTTACAAGGTTTTGAAGATCAACAAAATTTTCAGTATTTTTAAAACTTCCAAAATTATAAAAACCTTTGATATTCCCAAAACTTGTAAGATCCATAGAATTTTTCAATATCTTCAAAATTTCCATGAATTTTAAATTTTCAAATTTTTCAGGATTTTGAAAATTTCCAAATTTTCCAAAATCATCAGATGTTTTAAAATTCCCAGACTTTCAAGGTTTTTAAATAAACAAAATTTTCAATATTTTCAAAATTTAAATGAATTTTGAATTTCAAAATTCTTCAGGATTTTCGGAATTTCCAAGATTTATAGAATTTTTCAATATCTTCAAAATTTTCATGGATTTTAAATTTTCAAATTCTTCAGGATTTTAAAAATTTACAAATTTTCCAAAATTTGCAGATTTTTTAAAATTCCCGGACTTTCAAGGTTTTTAAAATCAACGTTTTCAATATTTTCAAGATTTCCATGAATTTTGAATTTTCAAATTCTTCAGGATGTTCAGAACCCCCAAAATTTTGGTATTTTTCAGAACTTTTGATGCTCTCAAAATTATAAAAATCCTTGGAATTTCCAAAACTTTTAAGATTTATAGAATTTTTTAATATCTTCAAAATTTTCATGGATTTTGAATATTCAAATTTTTCAGGATTTTAAAAATTTACAAATTTTCCAAAATTTGCAGATTTTTTAAAATTCCCGGACTTTCAAGGTTTTTAAAATCAACGTTTACAATATTTTCAAGATTTCCATGAATTTTGAATTTTCAAATTCTTCAGGATGTTCAGAACTCCCAAAATTTTCGGATTTTTCAGAACTTTTGATGTTCTCAAAATTATAAAAATCATTGATATTCCCAAAACTTTTAAGA